CACTAAGATCCTTCCTAAGACTCATAAGTCATTACAATCCGTTCCTATCGTACATACATCCCTTGCGTGGTCCCCTCTATGACCTGCTGACCAAGGATGAATGCTGGAACTGGTCCGAAGAGTGCCAGAGCTCATTTGACCAGGTAAAAAGGCTACTATCTTTCGACCTTCTGCTAACACATTACCGCTCCACTTTGGAGATTGTGGTGGCCGCGGACTTCTCGAACTAGTTCATTGGTGTAGTCTTAGCCCACAAGTTCGCAGATGGTTCAGAAAAAGCAATTGCACATGCAGCCCGGTCACTGTCTGCTGCAGAGCGAAATTATGGCCAGATAGAGAAAAAAGCCTTAGCGATAGTCTCCGATGTAAAGAGATTTCACAAAATGCTGTATGGAAGGAAGTTTACACCTCTTACTGACTGTAAGCCGCTGTTAACAATTTTCGGAGCAAACTCGGGCATCCCTGTCTATACGGCAAAAAGGTTGCAGCGGGGAGCTACTACGTTACTCGGCTACAACTTCACGGTAAAGCACATTTCTACAAAGGACACTGGTCAAGCTGATACACTTTCCCGGTTATTGGAAATCCGGCAGCGCCAGCAAGAAGAATCTATCATTGCAGCGATCTCTCTCGAGTCGGAAGTGAGTCGAGTGTGGTTGTTAACGCTCAGAGAGCTTCCGGTTACTTTTGAGATGATGCATCAATGCGTGATCCTGTCCTAAAACGAACGGTCAGCCTTCATACTACACAGTGGTCGAAGGACAACCCAAATGGGGAATTGCAAAGCCTGTTCCTGAAGAAAAGAGGAATTCTCCATCGTCAATGGTTGTTTACTTTTGTTATTCCTAATGAACTTTGCCAAAGAATTCTGCGACAGTTTCATCTTGGACAACCTGGCATTGACAGAATGAGAATGATTGCCCGGAGTTACATTTACCTGCCGAATATCGACTCGGAGCTGGAACAGCTAGCGAACTCGTATCCGAAATGTGCGCTTGTAAGCAACGCGCCCAATAAAGCGAAATTGTCTTCTTGGCCGTTGTCATCGAAAGCGTGACAGCGAGTACGCGCGAATTTTTTGGTCCCGTGAGTGGACAACACCATCTCATCGTTGTTGATTCCTTCAGTAAGTGGCCGGAAGTGTTCTGCATGGAACGCATAACAAGTGGCGCAACGATTGGCTTATTGCGTTTTTTCGCCCAACATGGAATACCAGAGACCCTGGTTACTGACAATGGCCCTCAGTTTGCCGAATACTGTACGCAGAAAGAAATCACACACCTACGCTCACCGCCTTTCCATCTACAGTCCAATGGGCAAGCTGAGCGCTTTGTTGATACCTTTAAACGAACGTTGCTGAAGATGAGGGTTAAGGAACTACCCAAGAGATATTAAGTGTTTTCTTTCTGCTTTACAGATCAACTCCGAACCCCCAGGTGACAAATCAGCTGTCCCCAGAAGGAGCGCTTATGGGCAGAAAACTCCGTACTCTGAATTCCTTGCTGCTTCCAAAGCGTATCGCTCCGCAAGAGGAAAGTGAGAATAGAGAATTACTTCAATCAGCCGCACAGGACGCAACTACCTCTACTTCACCCAAAACAGCGTGTTTTCGTCAGAGACTTTCGCCCTGGAAGATCACAGTAGACCACATTCTCGATCGACTGCAGACTTGGACAAATGGGTTCTATGCTTTGGACCAGACACGCAAACCAGCTGCGACCTACCAGCATTCAGATTGGTACCAATGCACGATCGCTGACTCTGGATATTCTACTGGACACTTTCAACACACGCCCTGGAACTCAGGAGCCACCTAATGAGCCTTGTAAGGGGACCACAGAAGGAATGAGCTTGCAGCCACGACGATAGACTGATCGGATACAGGGGTCCATGACCTGAATGCAGCTGGATCCCAGGAGGAAGTCGTACGTCACTTTTCTCGAGAGAGATGTTGGCGGAGCCCGTCCATAACAGCCATCGAAGCTAACTCTCTCTCTCTCTATGTGTGTGTCTGACGCTGCCTGAAGAACATTGGTTGTATGCTGCCTGTAGCCGATTGGCTATCGAATGAGAGTAAGTCAATGGCATCGTTTTTATCTTGAAGTGAACCAATTAGAGTGCCCTGCCTTGAAGCCCTGCAGTAAGCACACTACTTGATCAGCCAACAAACGAGGTTCTGCGCATCTATTAGTTGCTATAGTCAGGAACTTTCAATTATGTCTTCTCATGAACTGTTTATTTCGACCCAATATTTTGGCTGTACATTCTGTCTTCCGGATGCTCCATACATGAGGCTTTTGTCTTCTGATTTGGGAAATGGCTGCATCATGACCTGAGTGGCTGCATCACTTTTTGATACTGTCAGCGGAAACACAATAGTACAGCAATTGATCAATTAATGTGCAATAGTATGAAACGTTTTACATATATGTCGATCCATAAATGTTTGCGGGTAAGTATGTAGGTGTGTTTATGTTTGTAAATGGGTTGCTGTCCTTTTGACTGCGTTCGATTCCGTCGCCGCTGTCTAAAAGAATGACATCTGTGCATTTGATAAGATTGTCCGAGTAAGCAAGGACAATGACTAGTTGGTGGCGTGTCACAATCTCCACGTCACAGTGTTGTTAAGCAGGTGAATACCCACCACGTCCTGGAACACTGCCGCCGAACTTTTTGGTGGAGCGTGTTTAACTCAACCACCCAGCTGGCGTCACGGGGACGTTGTTCTTCTTGCCGGCCTGTCTTGCAGTGGAGTATTGCTTTCTAATTAACTAATGTGGGCCGAATCATCCTGGGCTCAGCTTCATCTCAATTACCCGTAAACTAATCAACTGCATCGTTCTACGATGATTCTTCGCTCCTCGTGCGAAACGAACCATTAATGTTCGGTTCCCGTCTGCATTGATCTGCTTTTCACTCTTCATTAGATATTTGAACACGACAACAACTGCGGTCGGCTTACCATGGTAATCTTCCTTGGCTCTAAAACTATTTTTGAATCAGTGAATCACAGATGTTAGTATCGATGACATCTTATGCCTTTTGTCGTCTTGCATCAAGCAAACAAAACAAGGCTCTCTTCGGTAAGGGATCTTCAGATGTGCTTAGCACCTGTCTATGTTATCGCCTCTTGTGATCAATTTCGCGATGAAAATAATCAACTTGTCACCATCTAGCACTCATTGCGGACACACTAGTACCAGCTGCAATTTTAGATTATCGGTTGAGCGCTTTCCGCTTTTTTGTGAAATCCAACATGAGTTCCTTCATTTTTTGTGTATGAATTTCGGTAACCAAGGAATTGAAAATCACAAAGCGCTTTTTAAGCTCATTTATTCCATTGCGAGCAGATCCGTGTGTTTGTTAATAAGCTATCCCGGAGCGCCTCCAGGTTTCAGATTGGTTTTCCTTTTCGTCCCGATCAGATTCACCGGCAGGAAGTCCTGATGTCGCGCGCGTCGCGGTTTTACCTGACGAATCCTTTACCTTTGTTGTATCCTGCTGGCACTGTTATCACGGTCTGCGGAAGCTTGCGTACTGAAGATACGTGAAAAGTACAAGGGAGAAAAAAGCAGGAGAATAAAAATAGTTTAGCCTCTGTAAATCAACTACGTGTGGCTCGGAAAAAACCCTCACCCTGTCAGAGCAATCTTGGCTGACCTGAGGCGTCTCAACCTCGTTGTCTACCACACGCTTGGCTCCAGTGATGCAACTCCGCATATGCGATACTATCATGGCGTCGAGTTTTTACAGATCCTAGTTCATAGGCGGTCTAACACAAGCCGCAAGCCAACTGGATTGGTCTCTGTCGCAGGCTACATCTGTGGATGACTGTTGAACTGTCATGAAAGTGGGGGCGACATTACTGTGTTCTCGATTTGTACCACTGACGTGTCTGAAAGTTGGACCGACCAAGGTACCGTAGTTCAACGGTGTTTGACAATATGGCTAGGTGGCGGGGAAGGCTGTGGGACAAATCCACTCCAACGGCTACGGAGCGTATACGATGCAGCGGAATGTATGTACCAATGCAAAAGCGAGCTAACGCCGGCATTTCGAAGAGCGGCTCGTAACTACCGCAAAGGCTGCTTACGTGAAGCGGCACCTGTAGCCGACAAGTGATCTGCCACTGCTAGAAGGCTATGGCGCACCGCTCCTAACACCAAGCACTGAGCTGTGTGGGTTACTATTTACCTTTGTTTTTCTCCAACGCTAGTCCGAACGATGGTAGATGATTCTGTCTCACGTTGTTTTATTTGAGTGTCTTACCGAATTACTCCATGATGCCAGATAGGTTGTTCAAAGTTATCTCACCTCTAGCGATTCGTTTAGTTTCCCTGTTTCGGAATCTGGTGGATTTTCGTTCGATATGTCAAAGTATCCGTTTAACAATACTACGACTTGCCGAGTGTGTCTGATCATTAACTAAAGCCACTTCGTTTTGCTTTCCTTCTGCGGAGCGTTGTAGTCCTGAGCTTGGATACGAGGTGTATTAGCCGGCGTTTGGACGCTCACCAAACCAGTCGTATCGACTTAAAAATACCTCACTGGATCTTAATTGACGCAATTCCCAGACTCCCGTTCCTTTGCCTTAAGGGTTGGCTATTCTATCGAGCGATCGGTTAGTACCACACTTGGGAAAATGTTTTGGTTGCTCTATATTTGCTTCTCCTCTTACACTGGTTTTGTTTTTCTTTGAATTCCGTGTTTTCGATAGCGCTATGTTTATTCATTGACCGCTCTTATATATATATATATATATATATATATATATATATATATATATATATATATATATATATATATATATATATATATATAGGACACTACAAATCGAATTGCACGCTTTTCAATCCACTTAGATACTGCATACAACATTCGCATTCGGCGATTGACAGATCCGAGTTTCGCTAGCGTCGTTTTTGGCCGCTACTGTAGGCCGGTAAGATTTGAGCATTATTTTCGATCTCTCACGTGCCGTTTTCTCTTTTGTATTTTAGGTTTGGATGTTCCCACTCGAACTGGCTTGATCGTGGAGCGCCGTGACAGTCAGGGTTATCGTATACCGGATGATGATCGTGTGAAATTCCATTATCTCACCGAAGAGGAAGCAGCCACTGTGTTGTTCCGATCTATTGTCGACATTCGTGGTAAGTTTCTACTAATTCTTATTTTCACTGCGCCCCCGCTTAAAATGCTACGATAACTTAACTTTTATCACGTCATCCATTTTAGCCTCCTTTTTGACATTTGTCCTGTCTTTGGGGTTCTCATCGACCATGTGTTATAAGCCACCGATTCAAGGCCCGTTTTCTGGGTTATGACACTATGGTGGATATTTTTAGACCTTTTTGCTCACTGGCCCTTATCGATCTGTTCATATTCGAATTTGACCTTTTCTGTATTAATCTTACTCTATAACTCTTTTCCTATCAGTCTGATGGAATTATTAGATTTTTTATTTTTCTTATTCACATTTCCCGCCACTGGTTCTGCTGTATCCTCTAATTGTTTCATTCTCATTATCTTCCCTGTTTTGTTCCCCCTGCGCATTACCTCTTGTGTTAGAACCGCGTACCATTTTGTGACTCAACTCAGCTTGCTTCGTTACTCGGATCACATGTGGTGAACTGAACTGAGCAAGTACTTGGAGTTTTGTGAGAAAGACTTCTCACACTTTGCGAAGACAATCTTTTGTTTCTCTCGAGCATCAGCTTCCGACATGTTAGGAGACGTTCCGCTACTTCGCGCTTATCATCTCCGACTTAGTCCTGGTCTCAGGTTGACCACATCGCAATCAGTTACACATGGCGGGTAGTGTGAAGGATCGCAGATCCATCTGTTATCGTCTGTTCAAACATCTGCGTAATTTCCGGAGGGTCCCCTAAGATGAAACACTGTAAGATAGGCACCCTATCGGTTCAGCAGCACTATCAAGCTTCCCTGGCCAATGCATTCAGCGCAACTCACCAAAAACTGGATGTTCATGCAGAAGACCATGCTCGCTTCAAGACTGTCAGTTTGAAGGCCTGGATCTCCACGCGCTCGCTGGCTCTATTTGACCGCCGCGGAAATATTCCAGCGGAGTCTAATCATAAAGTTGTGCGCCTTTCTGTCAGTCGGCAACTCAAACAAAGCCTACACAGTGACCGCTAAACCGGGTGGTCTCAGCATGCTTCGGAAATGGCGGCCGCTGCCATGTCTGGCAATACTCGCAAGCTCTTCCAGCTCATCCAGTGGACACAGAGAGCCCGGTGTCATTGAAACTCTTTGCTAAGCTGACGGTTTGCCGATTGCTAACCTACAGAGACTCTTGGATCGTTAGCCGGACATTTTCAACCGCATTTTAGTTGGCCGTCACCGCACACTTGTATACCCTGCGGACCCAGCTGCCCAGTCTGATTCTTCACACCTGACCCGTCCAATGAAGGAGAAGTTTTTCTTGCGATTCATGGCTGCCGGCTCAAATGGACTTCCTCCGGAACTGTGCAAATATGATGTTACCGCTGTCACCAGTGAGCTAACCTCATTATTCCCCAATATATGGCACGAAGAAAGGCACCTTTAATTTTTAAGAAGGGTGCCCGCACTTTATGCGCTAATCACCGGGGTATCAGTCTCATTTCGGTTGCGCCAAAGCATCCATTCTACTTCCATCCCTACTTCGTGAATCATAGTATCGTGGAAAACAAGCTGACTTCGGTTCTGGCCGTGGGTGTGTGGATCAAATGTTTACACTCCACCAAATCTTCGAACACCGCCATGTTTACCAGAGGCCTACTGTTAAGAATGGAGAGACGCCTGATACGATTGTCACTGGCACGGTTTGAGCACGCCTACAATAACGGCTTGGAATGCTGGTCGATCGAACGGATTTGCGCTGACGTGATGGCGTTAGCTTAGCCCGGGGTACGCGCTGGTGAGACAGAAAATCAAGCGAGCTTGAGAATGTTCCTAGTCGCACGTAACTGACGAGGCTAGGCACACAAGGGAGGATTACGGTAGGTGCACGCTGTCCGGCTATCGACGCACACAAAAATCACGTGACTTCCAACTACGGCGAAGCGGAAGCCAGACAAGTGGTCCTCTGAAGGCTCTTTTACGACCAACAGAGAGTGAATCATAGCCAATACTATGGGTCATTAAGTTAGTGAAAATAGCTACCGCAACGGGGTGGTAGTTTGTAAAAGAACATTGTCAAACTGTGCGCAGTTGTGCCGCGTCTCGGAGTGGCTGAAAACTGCTACGTTGTGGGGAGGAATTGGACGCCGCTTTCCACAGCCATTACGCCGGAGTTTGTGGCGCGTTTTTACGGGAATATTTGACAGCCCCGCAACACCTACCATCCTTGCGTTCTTAAACATCCGTGCTGCATTCGACTCGGCTGATCGACCTACGCTGACGTTACTTGGTAAGGAACCGGGTTCCGGAAAACTACACAACCATCCTGTGCACACTCTACCTGCTCGTCTCCAGCAGAGTAAATAAATAAATAAATAAATAGTTTATTCTCGTCACTACGAGGCACACCATCAAGGGCGTGATCATGGCAAGCTTTCTTTGTCCTTCGCTGTCAATAGCGGTGTACAACATGGCTGCCCTATGTCCCTTTCCCTCTTCAATTTCGCGATGGGAGACGCTTTTGCGGGTGTGGAATCTTGTTAACATTTCGGTCTGCGACTGCCGCCGGACAAGCGAGCGACCGACTTGGGTTATGCCGATGATATCGCATTACTTTTTGACGACTCACAGAACATGTAAACCATTTTAAACCGTTTGGCGATTGCAGGATCTAAGTACGGAGTGTGCTTCTCCCCGTCGAAATGTAAAGTGCGGCTCCAAGTTTGGCACTCTCCCGTTCCCGTGCTTACTCTTGATGGCATACGGTTAAAATTATTGTCACATTTGTATACCTTGGCAGCTGCGTGTTTGCTGGTGGTGCTATCAGCAAAGTAATTTCTCCGTGTCGCCAAAGCTGGGTCGACGTTTGCCAACTTGAAACACTTGTGGCGTCTAAATAAATCAATGAGAAGACGGGTGTTGCACGATGATATCATTTCGCGCTTTCTGACCACATGCAAACAAGCGAAATTTAACGATCACGAAATTGGAAATCAATCATTTAAATGGTGTCAAAATGGGAATGGAAGTAACATAAACGTATAATCTCCAACAAAATCACAACATTTGAGACAAGTATAACTATCCTCAAGGAAGCTTGAGGGTGACAGTCAACTGATTTTGCACACATAGGTCCGACGGCCGTGATTAATTGCCACAGCCTCCGCGACCTTGAGTATCTTGGCGTTTTCATTACAGTAGTTAACCGCAAACGCCAAGTTAGAATCAATTTCGTGCCCTGTGTTAAGTAGATATATGGCCATCGAAAAGACCGGCACTTTGAATCTTGACTCTTGTCCCTGCAATTGTTTGGCCACACTTGTAGCAACCCATTTCGGGATGTGATTACGGATCCTCTTGCGCAGACATCGGTCTGTTCTGCCGATGTAACTGCTTCCCCAGTTACAGACAAATCTGTAGTGTGTTGTGGCAGAGACCGACTGCGTAAGCCTAATTGGAGACGTTGGTGACTTACTGGTTGTCCGAATTGGGCACTGTTTTGCAGCACTGAATGTACGTCGAATTGCTGTGGCAACACGCCGCTCGACTTGCGTAGTCACATCATCCCCTTTGAATGGTAATTGGAGATAGACGGGCATTTTTGGCACTGAAGGGGGCTTTTCTTTGTTCCCTTCCGTCGCGCGACTGAGACTTAATAAACGCTGTCGGGTAGCCATTTACTTCTAGCGCCTGTGTGATGGACTGCAATTCAGCCTCGACACATTCAGGTCTGCATATTTTACAAGCTCGTTGGAACAGCATTTTGACGAGTCAGAATTTGTACCGGACCGGTGTGAAGCTGCTGAAATTTTCCTAAAATCACGTCCAAGTGGCTTTTCGTTAGACAGAACCTCGTATCAAGCCGTCGTCAGTTCTAGTCAAAAATACATCCAAAAAGGCAGACATTTGTTCTCTAACTCATGTAAAATGAGCGTTCGGGTGTGCATTGTTCATCACCTCGAGAAGACGTTGGGCACCATTGATGTTGGGGGCGATCACTAGCGTATCGTCAACGTAACGCTTATAAAGACAAATCTGTTCGAGGTGTGAGTCACAGCGTGCTTCAACCATTGGCATGAAAATGTCTACTGCCATGGGACCGAGTGGACTTCCCATTGCAACACCGTCCACTTGTCTGTATGACTCACCTTCGAAGAAGTAATGTACATTCTCTGTGCATAACAGAATTAAATCGTTTAGATATTCGACGGGTATCGGCAACGCTACTTTTATATTCGTTACGAAATCGCATAGGTATCCCACTGTCTCCCTTAAGTGTGTTGTATATCGTTTCTGTAATCTTTCCGTGGTGCAGCAATATTTTCAACCTGCTGGCCACCGACTTTTCGACCTGGGTTACATCGGTCCCACTTTCGTCTTTTTGAAACCTGCACTTATCACTAAGTATCTCATTCATCTTGTTTACGTAATCTGACTTGTCCATAATGACGTCTCCGGTACCCTTGTCCGGCTTCAGAACTATTACATTCTTGGATTTCAGATAGCTTAGTTCTTTGATGTGTTGCTTGTCCAATGTGCAAATTTGCTGAATCGACGCCTTAATGAAACCAATTGCAATGTCGACAAGCTTAACTTTAAGCCAATTGTAGTTTTCTTGTTTCGTTGGGTTAAGCTTCGATAGTTGTTCAATCAGCTTTTCAAATTGTCCTTCCACATCGATTTGATCAACCTTCCTTGGAGGGACTTCGTAGTTCCGAACCAGTGAGAGAGCTTCCATTTGCTTTCTGTTCAAAGATATAGAGGAGAAGTTATGTACATGCTTCTGTAAGTTTTCATTAAAAACGGTTTCCTCATCGGCGTTCTCGAGTGATCTTTGATATGGCTCCGTCGTGATTTTTTGTCCTTGGTAAGAGGTTGTGTTTACAATCATCATCAAAAGCAGTACATCAGCCATTTGAACTGATGCTTCGCTGCCATACAACCATGAGGACCTATGAAATAAAGAATAAGAAGAGGGAGAGAAGGGGGACTTACCTGAAAACCTTAATGCCCTAAGCAAACATTCAGG